ACATTTTAATCTGTATTAGTGCGTCATGAACAAATTATAAAAGTTACGAAAAGAAAAGCATTTGAGGAAATAATCTAAAATTAGGAAAAATGTGACAAACATTTGAAATCCTGTTTAAGACAGCAGTTCAATATCTTCACTAATTTTACAATAAAATCGGAATTTGCTTTTGTATTATCAGTGATGTGAAATTTGCATTTTTGCAATTTGGTACCTATAGTTTACATTTTTATTATTTTGAAACAAATTTTAATGAAATATCTTAACAAATCTTAACAAATACCGGATCATTTCTATTTTGCTTTTTTTATTACACACATGATTAATTCTGTTTCTACTAAAATAATCTTAACTAGACCATTATTAATACCATTTTCACGTCATCAGATACCATCACCTCACTTATTTTGTCGAACATAACACGATAAAACGATACAATAATAACAATTATCAACACTTAAATTGGGCAAGACACAGCGACACGCATCTAACAAGGTATGAAAATTAAAGTCACAAAGTAACGAAACGAGTTGTTGAGAGTTTTGTTGAAAAATGTCGAAAACAGAATAAAAGGTTGATAAACAGGAAGGAAATAGCAATTAGTAGAGCCAGAAGCAGAGCATAAAAGAACGAGTGGGGTTGTTAAGCTACCATGAAACCATCGCCATCCATGAAATCTAGCGACTACTGATGATGTGTCTAAAGGATCTGCGTTCACAAATGATCATCAAACAAGTGAGTTACTTGTAACTAGATATTAGACTAACAAAAATATCGTTTGACTTTTAACTAGGTAATTAAAGTTTAATTTTTACATAATATTCAGTGACGAAATTATTACTAAATGTGTGACCTACGGTTACTTTGTTTTTAGAGAATCTTAAATAAAATAAACTAATTAGGTACTACATACAATATTTTAAAAACATGGGAAAGTATATTTTGTCGCCGCGACAGATATACCTAACTCTTCTTGAAAAAGGAAAATAAAGATAATTAATTAGTTCTTAAATAAAAATATATCTCTTGCACTTTACGAAAAGTCTTTTAATTTTTTTAATTCTGGAAGAAGAAAAAATCTACAAAATGTAATACGTTTTATAATGATTTTACGTTAACAATACCAACTAGATAAGAATTTCTGCAGTCATTGTAGGTACAATATGGATACTTCTATATTATTTTGTCTGACTTAATGCATGACAGAGTTTTGAGGATGAATACATTACTGTCGCTTTTTAATTAATGAATAGCGATGCATTCTAATTTAGTACCATGCGCATTTTAACGGAAAAGTGGGTCATTTTATCAGACACGAATTGATAAAGTGAAAGTTTTAAACAATTTTCCAATTTGACCCTTTCAAAGCAATACGTAAGGTAAATTATGCTTATATATACTATAAACTATACAATTTTAAATTGCATATAAAATTTGTATGACTAAGTAATTATTTTTAAAACCTTTCAAACGAGGTATCACTTGCTATAAGGTACCATTCAAAGTTTTTGGTCACAGGGATCCTGCGACATCATTAATGACTATTAGACCGTCAGATAATGACAGGTTTAGGCGCCACATTTTTGCATACAAGCCTCGAAGAGAGTTAAAAAGTGAATTTTACGAATGGCTCCTGGGGATAACAAATGGAAAATTTGATTTTCCTTAACAAAAATTAAAGGTATTCAATGTCCATATTTTCACGCAAGCCGTGTTCACTAAATTTTGACTCGAAGTCGTTAAAAAGCATATCCTGGGTAATATTTTAATAGTATATTACACACCGAGGTGGGAAGAGTTTCATTCCTGTCGTGAGATTAATTAGATCACCGAGACGCGAAGCGTCGAGGTTAGCTACTAACTACCTAAAAATGAAATATTCAGCACGCATAAAATGTCAAAAGAAATACGCCGAACACGCGATTAAAACAATACTATTCATTCCGAGCCGCTTGAAACGTGGCCCCGTTTGAATGTATAAGAAGCGCTTTCTACAGACGAATGGCGTGACCTTTAGTAAACTTTTACAATGGATTGATATGTAAGCAGCCGGCCGGGCCACTAGTCGATGTGCTTGGATAGACGGCGGACAGTCAATTGCTTGAATTATTAAATTTGTTGTGTCTAGGCCCAGATAGCACAAATACTTCTTGTGGACGTTCTAAAAACGTCCTGCTTGTACATTCAGGACATCCTCAAAACGTCCATTTAACGGCTGTGAACGTCTTATGGACACCTATTTGGAACGTCCATTGTTAATAATCAGGATGTCTTAAGAACGTCCATTTAAGGACATTCCATGGACATTTTCAAAAGCTCAAATGGGTAATATTAGGATGTAAGGAAATTAGTGAAAATAATGAATAATTTCAAAAAAATTTATTTGGAAGCAAGTAACCTATATATAGTGAAATTATTAAAACTTTTTTTTCAAATTCGTCCCGTCTCTCCTCTACTTTGCTCTTTTCAATCATGCCTGGATTGAGAACAGTTGTTTTTTTTTGATTTGGCAATGTTTGCCTTACCAGTTGAACCTGAAAATAATTTAATCGCTTATTCAAAATTCAGATCAATCCAATCTGTTGGTTTAAGTTTGCCCTGCTAGACATTATGTATTCACTAACCTTTGAGCTTTGTAGTATTCACTGGAAAACTCGGTATTATACGCCGACACTCGAACGGCGGATATAACTATTGAAATGTTATAAAGAGTTTCTAGACACTTTGAAACACACTATACATAACAATTTTGGGTCCGCTAACACTTATTTAAAAAAAAAAATTACCTTAAATTCCAAAATCCTTAAAATTTGTTGTCGGGTCTCCATCATAAAACAAATGTAAAATAAACCATTTTCACTGATTTCTTGTAGAAACGGCTAAATATCAATATAAGACCATTCATAGAGCAATAAACCTTACCAAATTTTTTCATAAACGATCAAATTTTCTTATTTTTCATTTTTAGTTTGTTAGAAAAATAAATAAACACTAAATTATTTTTAATGACAATTGATGTGTCTAGTTTCTATAAATGCGGTGTTGCCAAATCGAGTAAGAAAACATATAAGTCAGGAAATATTTCGATTAGTGAAAGTTGGCTGAAAAATGACATAGTGTCTGGCCAGCAGGTCAATTTGGATCTCGAAGTGAAAACATTTGTAGTAATCACAGACAACCGTCTTTTTATTTCATTTCATGATGATTGTACGTTAATTACGGCATGTCGGTACTTATCTAATATTAAAAAAAAAATCAATTTGAGCTGTGTCCAGGCCGTTGGAGTTTATGCCGGTCGGCGTAGCCAGGTATGGTTTAAAAATTTTCTGGTGTTACTAGTAGAGAAACTTACAACCGTTTATTTTCACCCAAATTTGGCTACAAGTTAAAACAGATTTTTTCCCTTGTGCTTCTCTAACTTAATCTTATTGTATTTGACCCATGTAAATTCACAGTACCCACTCTGTTACCTTAGTTCCTTGTACAAAACCTTGACAGGGTGTATTCTATAGGTTCTTGGATCAACCTGTGGTTGTCCAAAAATTGCCTGTCTTTTGTAATCCAATATTTCGCGATTCGCCGACGAAAGCCCAAAAAGCTGGCGACTCGCCGGAGATTGTCACCGGAATGTCATTTCACGCAAGTTTTTATTTTCTTTTATAGGGATTATCACCGGTATCTCTCGCATTTTATTCATGATTCATTTCTTAAAACTCAAAAAATAATGAACGAATATCATATTTTTCCCTATAAAAGAACATGGAAACTTGCGTGAAATGACATTCCGGTGACAATCTCCGGCGTGTCGCCAGCTTTTTGGGCGGATCACCAGCGAATCGCTGGCGATACGCCGAAATGAATCTCTGGCGATACGCCGAAATGAATATCTGGCGAGTCGCTGGCGATCGACTATGCATACAGCTGTAAGTATTCTTGTTCAGCTCCTAATTGTTTAAATAAGTAATCTAATATTTGTTAAAGAGATTATTCAATTAAGCTATATTTTTCCAAATTGCAGTAAACCTATACTAAATAATTTGAATGTTAAATTAACTAGTATATTTATAAATTTCAATATAATTAATAGTCACTTTTCCTCCTCTTAGGCAGAGCGCCCACCGAAGTAACGTGATGCATGGCATATGACATGGCGCGTGCAGCATGACCACGATACCACATACTTTGATTTTCTTTTACTATACGGAGAATGGTCGCAGTGCGCAGCTTTCTGAGTGTCTTTTAGAAGGAGATAGAAAACTCCGCCATTTTGATCCCTTATTACGTGTTGCCTACATCTTGGCGCAATATTTTTAATAGGTGCGTTTTAATCATCCGCTTCTGCTTCGGAATTGTCGGTTTTCTTGTTTTAATCTGACAGGTTAAAACGACTAAACCGACAATTCCAGAAGCAGAAGCGGATGATTTAAGACGCACCTGATATTTTGCTTGCTGCTGTCAGTGTCAGTCACTAACATATTATCCGAGTTGCGCAGTGTATAAACTGGAACATTGAGATCAAAAGTGCCGACGCAGAGTGAGCGATCTGATTCTTTAGCTATAAACTGTGGCATAGGAATCAAACTGGCTGCGCCCTATGTTGGGCGTGTCGGACCTCTCTCTTGCACTGTATAGTAATTAAAGTATGTGCATCCAGTTTAATAACAAGGTCGGTGGATTTTACTGCCTGTTTACCTTTATAGGTACCATTGCCTTCAGCCAAATTGACAGAGTCCCGCCACTAACGCAACTTCTAAATTTCCTCTTTAACTGTACTCGACTGTCTTCCTAATTTTTAAAAAATGTATTTTTATTGTCAAACTATCTGAAACTAGTTAAACTAAAATAGTAAAACATTTTTTTGAAGATAGCCCGATTTAGTCAAATTTTTAATTAAAGCAAACTTACAAAAAAAATTTAGAGACTTAAAAGAATAGCAAAACTGTACAAGCACATTCATTTATAAAATACACTACAAAAAGAGACACAAGATAAAAATACAATTAAACAACTTCGGTGGTGTTCTTCATGATTTTCTTCATTTTAATTATCACGTCTTTTTCGAGGAAACGATTGAGGTATACGTCGAAAATTTTGTCCTTGGAGAGCATTTTGTAGATCCTCTCTCCGTATTTTCTCACATCAGGGCTGCGATCTTCAAGAAAACCAGCCATTTTCATGATAATCCGCCTCTTGGTGTACTCATTGCTAGAAGGGTGGATTATATTTTGAGGACCGGAGAGCACCATCGAACAAACCAAAAGTCTAGCGGCAGCGACTCTCACTAAAGGGTTCTTATGTTCGGGCCCCTTTGAACAAATCGCTCTAACGGCATGAAATGTTGGAATATGAGTAACCATACAGTCCAAAGCCAAATTAGCGTCGTGGCGGATGAACCGATTAGAATCAGCGCATTTACAAAGAAGACTATCCACCAGTTCATCGAATTCCGGTCGCCTGGTATCCTTCACGAATTCAAAAATATGCCCAGCGGCCTGACAAGAAGTCCTGCTAACGTGCGATCGCGGGCTCTTAATCAGATCTATCAATTTCTGATTGATTACAGTCATGTGTTGAAGAATATGCTCGTGGCCGACAAGCCTGGAGATCTCTACGATTTCTGCCAAACCTCGCAGCGCTACGTTCCAATCAGAGTCTCGCAGCTTATTTACAGCTTGTAACAGAGCGTTTTCTGTGGATGTCGCAGATGTTCCTCTAGATCCAAGGCCGGCGCAGGAGTGAGAGATATCAAGCTTTGCATCGTTTTCAATATTTTCTGGTCCAAGCAAGGCGGAATCGCTTCTTTCATTATGCCTACTTATTGAGGAAGCGTTCTGGCGGGATATTCTGTTCCCCGCTTTTGGACTGGCTGATCTTTTCGGGCTCATCGATCTTACCTTTCTCGTGGGTGCAATTAGACTTTCTATGTGCTTGATATCAAGACTTTGGTTCTTGCATTCGCTAGCAATAGTCGGAGACATGAATGAGAAACTCTTGGCTTTCAGTTCGGTTTGTGTGTTTTCGGTGACTTTATATTGACTGGCTTTGGAATTGTTCTGAGTTAATTCTGCTTCGATGCCTCTGTCTTCTAACTCGTATGTTTTGTCGTCGATGTAAACGGTATTATCGACGAATGAGTGACTTCTAGGTACATTCTTGTTGGACTTAATGATGTTGGGGACAGTTAGACCGGACTTTCGTACTTCCGTAGTCGATCGTTTCAGTTTGCTGAGATTTTTTTCTAAGAACGCTTTTGTAAGTGAGAGTACTTTGGAAGTTCAAATTCGGTTCGTAATAGTGATTCTGATTACAATCTTCCTGGTTCAGAAAGTTGACCACGTTGAATGTTCGATCGAATGGCAATGAAGCTAATTCTTCTTGAGTCATTAGCGGTTCGTAATCGGCTTTCGTGTCTCCTTCGCAGTGATTTTGCATCATTCTGTCTCTTGCAAGTTGTTGCAAAAAGTTTCTCTGGCCACCTATGTTACTAAAACTGTACCTTGCTGGACTTATTTGATCTGGGAAAATATTTCTGTTCGTTTGAGTGTAACACTCTCGTAAATATTCAATTTTTTTGGAATTGCTAAGGTTTATAGAAGGCGTAGATCCTAATTCAGTTTGCTTGCAAATATTAGCTCTAAAACATTCAACGAACGGACCTGTTCTATAATCATTACTGGAGTTTTCGTTAGGCTGATAAACAAAATTTGAAAATTTACTTTTCTTCGTTGGACAGGGTTTAATATTTTGCATTATTTTGTATTTGGTGCATCTTCAATACAGTTAGATTTTTATCAAATAGCATGATGACAGATCAAAACATTTTATATAATATCATTGTCATTTGGGTGTCATTTTGACTTTATCTGGCGTTTTATTACCAATCACATCATTTCCTTATGTTATGTAATTCTAGCTTTGTTTTTCATAGATTCATTACTATTCGTTAATATATACAATAAATACTATATTTATCTGAGGCTTAAATCAAGTATGATGCACTGGCTTTGTAATAAGTATGGAGTGTAGAAGAAAAGAGGACAATTTTATTGGTTTTTTTCTTAGACTAGGTAATAAAGAGAAGACGCGTAACAAATATATCGAGCACACGTATCTACGCCAATTATCTATTGGCAGCCATTATTTTGGTGCTTAGCATTTCGGTGACACCAAAGTTTTTTTTTTCATGTTTATTTCTGATTTTTGAATTAAACGACATTTAATAATTGATTTATTACAATGGTTTATTGTGTGGCATATCAGTGTAAAAGTTATAGCCGCAAGAAAGAAGCAGATATTACGTTTCACAGGTAAATGATAAACACCAATCGTTTTTACTTTATATATTTTCTTATATTTTTCATTTTATTTGGTGTTATACAACTTGATATTTACATATTGTACATGTCTTACTCCAGAGTAATAAATTTTACCCACCAAGTTTGTTTATTTTATGCTTTTCATTGATATTTAAGCACTTTATGATATTAAAATGGCCAAACAAGTAATTTTTTCCAGTGGCGTGTCGTACAATTCTAAATATTAACTTTTATTAAATTCTAATTTACTTTTGCTTTTTATTTAATTGCAGCAATGTTTATTTGTTGTTTTATTTTAGATTTCCTGTGGACCCAGCAAAAAATCTTCAGGCAACGAAAATTGCAAATGATAGATTGTTGGAAAGATATTTTTTTTTATGGGATGGACTGTAAAAGACGCTTACTAAATGGAGCAGTTCCCACTATATTTTCTGAATACCTTAAATACATGCAGCCGAAGAATGTGCGTATACTAATAAACATAATTAAACATATATTTTTTAATTATTTTTCATTATTATGTTATGCACTTTTAAGAATTTGGCAATCTTTTTGTGTATAATTCAAAACATTACCGTAATAATTGATTGTTTGTAGGACTTAAAAAGAAGAGCATTGCATTTGGAAGCTCAGCCAGGTCCTTCAAATAGAACTGCAAATAAGGAATCTATTCTAGAAAGCCCTAGCATAAAACGGCTTAATTTAATAATACCCAGATAGACTACATTTTAAAGACGTCCAGTTCATATCTTACTTTCGTCCAAACGTCCTGGTACGTAAAACGGACGGTTTTAAGACTAGCTCAGTACATGTTTAAAAGGTCTTTGTTGGGATGTTTTTAGGACGTTTTAAATATGTCGGTAATGTGGACGTGTAACTTTTTTCGCTATATTTGAATATGGCGCCACGACACCGTTCTTGGCGCTACCTGCAGCGCATGTATGATCGTCATTAGTCATTTTCATTGGCAGAACGCATATTCTCGTGCGCGCGTATCGAGTCGTGTTCTTCATCTGGCTACCTTCTTCTCGGGACAGCCATTCTATAATATTTTTAGCGTCAGTATGTGGACATTGTCATTACTTTTTCGTGGTTGTGTGTTTTTATAGGTATATTGTCTTTTATATTATTTATTTGCCATTATTGGAACTGTGGTATTCGCTCCGTGCGAAGTCATGGAAAGGGAAGCAAAAGCGATACTAGCGCTAGCCGCGGATAATTCGTGCATTTTAGGGCGATATTTTGTAATTTTGGCATATCAAATACACGTATACATTTTACTTTTTTTCAAAAAAACTAAGTCAAAACAATACAATAAGCAACCGGAGTTGCTGTGTTGAAAATTTTACAAATACTAGAAAAAAAAAACAGTGAAACTTATACAAAAAATTTCAGTAGCAAAGTAGAAATTAAATCAAAGAAATAAATGGATAGGTGTACAATAAGAAGAAAAATTACCTTTATTTTTGTAATAATAACAGTAATGCTGGAAATAGTAGACATCAGAAACTTAAAAGGTTTTAAATAAACAGTAAATTATCATTTTACGATATTCTTTAATATCCCTTTATTCTTAAATGTTCATTCAGCAAGGACTAGATTTCACCATTTCTGCCTTTGATTATTATAATGTGGCTGAAATGCAATTTTGTCACTTACTGATGGGAAACCAGTTTTAATCATTCATTCTATGTTTTCGTTCGAACAAAAATGAAAATATAAATAACGATCTTTTTTTTATACATTTTAACTTCACGCTAATTGTATTAAATGTTTTTTTTTAATTTTGACCTCTGAGATTTTGACAGAATAGTCTAACCACATACTTTGATTAGTATGTGAGTCTAACTCTTTAATGACAACTTATTAAACTTAGGCAACTTCTCATACATTTTCCAGTAAATACTGTTGCCTGCCTATATTTTATTATTGATTTTTATTGATTATACATAAATTTTCTTTGATTTAAGCGATAAAAATATATAATAATAATAAATTATTGTTTTACTTGTTTTAAAATCCATATACTTTTATTAAAACTAACATATATACTTCTTAATTACGAATTCTAATAAAAATTGCATTTGTCAGTATACGCAGAAATAGTCCATTAGTACCAAAACGAATTGGCGCTGCTGTCGCGCACGGAGCGAATACCGGAACTAGTAAACTTTATCATTAAAAACGGTAAGTTTTAATTTATTTGCCTTTCAATTTCATAACCTCACTTTAATAATGTCTTAAAACAATAATTTAACAAAAGTATATGCTACGGGGACATTTGTTACAGACGCTTTGACTAAAATTAATACCATAAAAGAAGTTTTTAAATCGACCAAACTGGAAAAAAGTAGGATTTCCGGGAATAATTTCTCATAGCAACATGTACTTAAACTCATTTTCTAATTATTTTATCCAACACTGTAATGATGTATAATAAACAGTTTATTAAATGTAGTAGAAAAGTATTTATTTATTTTTTTAAATGAATTTCCATCAAGTAAATAGACGGCTTAAACACGTCCAATACGGTTTGTCTTAAAGACGTACAAAACTGGATGTCTTAAAGATGTACAAAATTGGATGTTCTAAAGACGCCTTGTTTTGTAACAATGTACGTCCTATAGACGCCTTTAAAACATCATTTGGATTCTAGCGTACATCTTCAAAACATCAGGAACGTCGTGCACAAACGTCTTTAAGATGTCTTTAAAACGTGTCGTCTATGCTATCTGGGTAGTGTCATTCTTTATTAACTAAAAATAAATCTTTTTGTAATACATGTAGATCATTATGTTTTATTTTGCGGAATTAAAAAAAAACACTCATTTTATTATGTAAATGATTTCATTCAGTTTATTTCAATATATTTTTTTCTTATGTCTTATTTATTGTTACTTATTTATTTTAAATTTTACGCTTTAAATTTGCTTTATACCTAAAACGATCAATAAAGTATTAATACCATAAATACAAGTTCGTTTTTTTATTTCCAACATGTTACGCCTTTGGTCGAATATCGTTGGTGACTGGTGTCAGAATGGAACAAGATTTTCAGCTGCGTTATGAGTCCTCTCTTTATTACCTAGTCTAAGGTTTTTTTATATCAAGGTCACAAGGAATTTTAAAAGCACAGCGTGTAGCATAACAACAATAAATAAATAGCAAAACAATCTGTATACTCGTACTTACATAAAAGAAAGTTAGTGGTATCTTAAAAAACAGTCGAAGAAGCTGCTGAAATTGTATATGGCGGCGTATGAATCTCTTATATTGGACAATTTTAGGTCATCAGTTTAATAGCGTCTTCTAGGGATGGGTAAAAATAATCGATATATCAAAATATCGATATTTTTTTATAAAATAATCGATAAATATCGTCGATATTTTTTATTCTTCATTAATCGATAATCGATATTTATTTTCGAGTATCGAATTCGATATATTTTTTAATTAAGTTTAGTATAAGGTTTGTTCCAACAGCAGTACAGAACCATTCGGAATTTATCTGCGCATGAGTAGTATGAAAAATAGAACAGTTAAATCTTACTGCTCATGCGCAGATACATTCAAAACGGTTCTGTACTGCTGTTGGAACATACTTATAAAGTCTTTTCCTTTGCATCGAAAGTGTAGCACTGAGCTACACCACTTCTGAAAATATCGTTCCATTTATACAAATTGTATGGATGGAACAATATTTTCAGAAGTGACGTAGCTCAGTGCTACACTGTCGATGCAAAGGAAAAGACCTATAGTATGTTGCCGATGCATTTTTTACATCTCAAGCGTTTGTTTATTCACATCGGACACATCTAAATCTGCGTTTGTTTATCCGAGATGTACCTGTCCAGATTACATTTTTTACAACTCGATTTGAAATGAGATGTGAATGAGATGTTCGTTCCATGCCAGAAAGTAAGTGTTCTGTGAAGCCAAGTTTGTCAATTTATCCTTTGTCTATGCTAGCATGAATGTAAAAGTGGTTAGTTTGTTTAATTTTTGTTTAGATTTCAAATTTAGGTTGATTTGTAGTCTCAAAAGTCAAATTTAAAAAGTATAAACTTCTAACTTGTCATTGTCATTTTATCACGTGACCAATACAGTCTAGAGCGTTTGTTTATTACATCTACATTTAGATATAATTCTCTATCACGTGATAAAAAATTCACATCTCAGATGCATCCGATGTGGATATTCAAACGCGGCATGTGTACCTGTTGTTTGTGGTGACATGATCGAATGTGGTGACTAGTGACTTTAGTGTCAACTGTCACGTGTGACGAATAGCATGTTCCGTATATCACCGAATATTACCGGCGCGGTTAAAGCGGTTACTAGCATTTTCAGGACGGTTTCTTTTTTGGTTATTGGTTAGTGAAATATTTACGGAACGCTTGTAAATGTCAAATGTCTCATGTCAAATCATTGCAT